TGACTATATTATAAGGTGATAAAAAGTGTGAAAAAAAATCTTTGCCAAGACCATATGTCATAGCTTTTGGTTCAAATACACAATCTAACATGACAAACTTTTAAGTTCCAGCCAGCTGCAAAACCCTATACTAGCTGCTGGGAATACAAAGATTAAAACAAGGAGACCCTACCCTCCATGAGCTTCTATTCTCCTTAGCTACCCTGAATATCATATAATTAATTAGTCTAATTGTCCTTCCAATTGGAAGGGTTAAAGTGAGGAGGTAGCATAGGGGTGAAAAATTCTCCTCCTTCTCTCTGTGAACTACTCCCACAAGTCCAGAAAGGCCAGCATCCCCAAAGGAACAGCTGGGCTTCCAATTTCACAGAACACCCTTAATCAGTATCCCCAAGCTGCCTGCCAGACAGCACTGCCAGAGACTACCTACCCCAGGGCCTTTTCCAGCTGAAGATCCAATATTTATTCCCTTCTGCCCTTGGGGGATGTCTTGCTTCTGCCTTACAGATGCAAAAAGGAGAACTGAGCTCCTAATACCTGGGATCATAGACTCATCAGATCTTAAAGCTAGAAGGGACTGGAGTGATCAAATAATCCAATCCCCTTATTTTGCAGATGAAGAAATTGATGGATACAGAGCTTTTGCTTCAACAAGTTGGAAGCATTTTTCCCAGGTGCTCTCACATCTGTTCTCACAAACAGCCTTCAAAAGTAGATTAGAAAAGAAAGATATTACTTGTGGACTCTTTTTAAATTTTTTTTAAAATTTTAAATAGCAGCTTATACGATGTCTACTTTAGGCAGTATCTGTTCACTGAACCAAATGAAGCCTCAGTTAAGTCCAGCAATGACTTGGAAACCCCTGGTGAATTGTAGGTGTCTGTCAGTGAAGAAGCAAAAATGGAAATAAAGAAAATTTCACTAAGCTCGTATGTACATGACATTTCCTTTGTAACAAGTTTGATTCTATTTTGTTCATCTATCCATCTCACCTGAACGCTTGAGCAATCAAGCAACCAGGATGAAGGAAGAATACGAGGGAGAAGGGAATCCTTATAGTGGCACGTCTTCTCTCTGCCCAACTGTCCAAGATGGGTTCTGGGATGGCCCTGGGCCAGGGGAGAAAGGCAAAGAGTTATGGGCCCATCCAAGGTAGCCAAGGTGGTGTGAAAAATGCAAAGATGAGTAAGAAAGTACATCCTAAAAGAGTTTATAGACTAGGAGACATGATAAAGTGTGTACAGTATACAAATGACTGTAACGGTAGGTAGTGGATGGTAAACCCAGTGAGAGAGAGATGTCAAGTGTACCAGTGTTCAAAGGAAAGAGAAGTAGAAAGGGGTAAAAGGGTGGACTCATAAATCTAGAGCTGAAAGGGATCCAGGATGTCACAGGTAAAAAAACTGAGGTCCAGGGAAGTTGAGTGAATTGTCCATTGGTATATAGATGGTATGTGAACCAAGTTCCTCAGGTTCCAGAGGCTGTGATTGCTTTTTCTACAATTCTGCACTAGAGAAGAGATTCAGGATGTTGTATTCATGTTGTAGGTAAATTTCAGCTGGGTATGAAGGATGGTTAGAATCCTAATAAGTATAGATGGGGGAGGGAGGTCATTTGTGAAGGAGCACAGATAAAGGAAATACCACAGACAAAGCCATGGAATCAGAGAAGTCCAGGTTGGGAACCATGTGTAGTTTGACAGGAGCAAGCATAAAATACATAGAAGAGAGAAGTGGAGATAAGACTTTCAAGGTTCATTGAGGCTGTATCATGGTGAGCTTTAGGACTTTGATCTAAAGGAATTTTAACTTTATTTGGTAGGCAATGGGGAGTTATCAGAGGTTTTTGAATGAAGGAATTAGATGATTAAATCAGTGCTTTAAGAAAAACCACTTGGTGAAAATGTACAAGGTGGATCGGATGAAGGAAAGCCTTGAAGCCAGAAGACCAATTAAAAGGCTATTACAATAGTTTCATAAAAAATTCTTCAAACAGCTTATAAATGTGTCTTAAGGAGGTAGAGAAATGGAGCCTGATCTTAGTTCTGATATTATAACAGGAATAAAAATTCAATTGAAAGTCCATGTTTTCTTTCTGAATGAAATAGGAAAATATCGAAATGCCAATGTCAGCTTAGCTTGACAAAATAAAAAAGGCTCAAAAAGAAGGGAAAGTGATCCATCACAGAATTTCCTACTGGCCCCTACCTCCAATCTGTTGTTGTTGGTGTTGTTCAGTTGTGTTCAATTCTTTGTGACCCCGTTTGGGATTTTCTTGGAAAGACACTAGAATAGTTTGCCATTTCCTTCTCCAGTTCATTTTACAGATGAGGAAATTGATACATGTGGGTTAAGTGACTTGCCCAAGGTCACACAGCTAGTAAGTATCTGAGGCCAGATTTAAACTGAGGTCTTTGTAAGTCCAGACATGGTGCTTTATTCACTGCACAACCTAGCTGCCCCATTAAAGAATTTCCTCCTGCCCCATACCTCCTCTCTGTGGAGAGTTTCTTTTATCCTACTCCCAAACCAGACTTCTAGCTCCTATAATGCAGAAGGTTTACTAAACTCAGTCAATCAACCAGCAAGGACTTATTAAACACTGACACATGCCAGGAAGTGTTCTAAGCACTGGGAATACAAAGACAGAAGTAGGAATGGTTCCTGACCTCAAGAAGCTTACAGTCTAAGTCTTCATCTTTACCTATTAAGTGTGTCCATTATGTAAGTTGCTAAAAGGAACTGTTACTTGTTATTCTTAGGCACTGCTACATCAACCCCAGCTCCTTAGATGGCATGACTTTTACTCACAGTATTGGCTGTGCTTTATTAACTCTAGGATGAATGATGTGGTTGAAATTCCCTCCCATTCAAGATACAGGCATGGAAGTTTGCCTGTTTGAGTTAGTGATTCCCATCACCTTTCTGAGATACCGTGTGTGGCTCTCAGTCTGATGGATGTGGGGTCCTTAATCTCTATTGACTAATCTGCTTTTAGGTGAATCTCTTACTAATTTTTCTCTTTGACACGGACTGCATTATGGCAGTGAGGAGCCTGGCAACACAGGTATGATGGAAGAAGGTAATTCAGAGGTTTCAAACTCACTGGTACTTCTGGGAAAACTAAGAAAGTCATTCCATAGAGAGCCAGACACCAGGCCACTTCCGTTCCGTCCAATTTCCTCCTTCCACATTTCTGTAATGGAGGACTCATAATGCTTGATGCTTAAATTGATTTTTTTCCTAAATGTATTTTATAATCATTAGCTAGCCAGGCTGCCCAGAAGCCTTCCAAAGCAGCTCCGTGTTATTATAGAACCACCAATTTTCCAGCTGCAGTAAGGAACAGTGTGGGAGAAGGCAGAAGCTACATTTGTCAAACCGAATGCTGTTCCTAAATATAACACTTTATTAGCCCAGGGGTGGCCTAGCTATTTGTAACCTTTTAAAAACAACACTGAAGTTAGTTGGGAGAACCCGCCATTGTGTTCAGGGCAGCAGATTGGGCTGCTTTAAGAAGCTAGCCGGAGATGTAGCATGGTGGATGCTGGGCAGAGAGGCCAAAAGTCCCACGCTAATAATCACTGATGCAAGGTCATTCAATGAGTCAGTGTCAGATGTCAGGACTGGCAGAGACTTCCTGACACTCAGGCCTTCCCTAAGACGACAAAGCCTTGGCTCCGTAGAATCTGTTAATCTTTTCTAAGCCTGTGACAGACTGCATTAGGAAACCTTAACTCCCATTCTGAGAACCAGGCTTTATAGCAGCTTAATTCACTTGGTTCCATCTGGAATTACTGACCTGACCACATACACCAAGTTGTGCTTACTGAAATAGAAGGTGTTTGTCAGGCTCAATATAACTACCAAAGTAGTTAATTCTCTGCTGGATTTTTTTAAAAAATTTTTTTTAATTTTGAGTTCCAAACTCTTATCCTCCCTCCAACCTCTTCCCTAGCCATTGAGAAGGCAAGCAATATGATACTCCTTATACATATGAAGTCATTCTGCAGGATTTTGTAATCACACATGTTCTATATATCATTAATACATAAAGCAAGATATTACTGGATCTGGAGTTTGAAGAGAGCTGAGAGGCAATTTAGTCCAGAAGATGAGAAAATTAGAGGCCCAGAGAGTAGGGGCAACTTCCTAAGGTCACACAGTTAGCAAGTATCAAAGGCAGAATTTGAACTCGGATCCTCTGCTTTCATACTAAGAGCTTTCAGGGGCTTTACTGTTTATTTCCTACCTGAAGTCAATTTTTTTTTGAGACGTTAGGGGCTAAGTAGCTCTACATAGCAAGTGTCTTCTGATCAGCTAGTGAATGTCATTATTGAATTTTTTCCTGATTACTTCCCACGAATTTAAGCTTAGATTGAAGTCCTTTTGACCTCAGACTGAACTTTCTCTGCCTCTTACTTCACATAAATTTCAGCCATGTCATTCTTCAGTCTTTATAAGAGCAATTGTTTTCATTTGCATTTCCCTGTGACCACAAAACAAATTTTATTCCCAACACAATGAACAGACACCTCTGTCACTGGTACCAGAAACAGACACAGTTCTCCCAGATGAGAAATATAGCTTCCAGGTCTGCACAGCAAGCCAGGAGCCCGCTTAGGACATAGCACATACTGCAGATTCCCTTCTTGTGTTGGGTAAAATAATACGGGATCAGGGAAACAGAAATAGGTGAAAACATATGACATAGGGGCAGAATTATTTCCAATGGGGAAATGTTTTCCTAAATTTTCCAGGAGGCATTAGCTGATCTTAAAAAGTGCCTTTTTAGTGAGATCACTGCTGCTAAACTCTGATAATCTGTCCTTGATCTCCACAGAGGATTTGTAGATTCTCAATTTCCCTACAGCAGATTGTTAGGAGTGTTGCAGCAGACCAAGTGGTACCTGTATAATACTATGGTGATCATTCACCTAGAAAAATAAGTCTGAAAAAAAAAATAACAAAGCTTTAACAAACAATTCTCTTGTTTTACAGAGAGAGGATGCAAGCCATGGAGAAACAGATTGCCAGCTTAACTGGTCTTGTTCAGTCTGCGCTTTTTAAAGGGCCAAATACAAGTAATAGCAAAGATGCTTCTAGGTAAAAAGAAAAAAAAATAAAAAATTCACAAATCATGAAATCTGTTTCTCTTTAATCATTAAAATAATTCATCAACACAAATCGATTTCCTTATAATCGTTATGAAGTGGAAAATTTCACCCATCTATGAATTGTGGGTTTGCTTTGTTTATTCTGAGAATGCAAGTTAAAACTTTGGGTCAAAATAAGGTAAATGGGCTTCCCAATGCATGTGGATTTCATGGACGTTACACAGCTCAGTTCCTGCAACCACCATCTACATTTCTCCTCCCTCCCATGTTCACCGTGCATTTGGAAAATCATGAATAATGTCCAGCCACATTTCACCAGCAGCTAAGGAATGCTACATTGTAAAGCCTTATCCATCCCAGCCAGTGCTTATGCTGTGATGCTAGAACACCTTCATTGCCTAATAACCATCACTGATTTCTGCTGATTGCTTATGTAGTAGATGTGAAAGAGATAAAATCCAGGCTGAGCATTTTCTAACTTTGTTCTTTTTTATTCAGTGAGAAGATGATGAAGACCATGGCCAACAAGAGCCTCCCAGATGGTGCAGGTAAGTCTCCCAATGGATTTGTAAGGGAAGCCTTATACCTACATCAGTTACTTGGTGGGAATTGTGGAAGTTTCAGGAAGACACCTTTGCCAAGTATCACTCCAACTCACACCTGAAATTCTATGATTATGGATTAATTCCTGTGGATTAAAGTGTTGACTTTTTCCTTTGTTCTTCTTTTCAAATGAAAATACTCCTGGGAAAGGTAACTCATAAAGTTATTAAGATCATAGAATGTTAGAACTATAAGGGGCCTTAATGATTATTGACTCCAAGGGTTCTTAACCTGTGACGCCTGAACTCTCAAGTGAGAGGCCATGGTCTTGGATGGGGGGAAAATTGCATTTTTTTTCTATTAACCTCTAACCCAAATTTAGCATTTCCTTCAACTATTTAAAAATATTATATATAATTATACACACACAGAGGTGCATACACACATAAACACAGTTAAAAACCCCAAAGTAATGCTACCCCATCATTTTACAGATGAGGAAATTGAGGCCTAGAGAGTGGAAGTGATTTTTCCACGGTTTCACTGCCAGTGAGTCACTCAACAGGTATTAGAAGCCAAATCTCCCAATTCTCCAACCAGTGGCTTGGTATAAATGAGGTTATGAAATTCCTTTTTCAAGACAATGTCTAAAAGGTTGAAAGTAAGACTGAAGGAGGAAAAAGAACATTCAGCTAGATCTGGGTTTGAATTTTAACTCCATTTCTTAATAGCTGTGTGACCTTGAATAAATCACAAACCTCTCTGAGCTTCAGTTTCCTCACCTGTAAAACATTTTTATGCAACACACATTCTATTATAGTTTGTATAAATATGACTCATTTAAAAAATTCAATCTGAATAGGAGGTAATTAATCATTTGAGGCAAACTGAAACTGAAGCTTCTTAAAAACGAAGAAGATGCATTATGTATCAGTATGGGTCTGAAGATTGAAAAAAATCCCAAGTGGTCATGTTTTTCTTCTTCTCTGGAAAATTGCTTGATCTCTTGGGGAAAAGAGTTTCACATCTGGCAAATCTCAAGGATAATATTAACTGGACTATCTACCCCACAAGCTTCTTGTGAGGCAAGTGTCTCTTAAGCTATAGATAAATGGGAGGTGGTATCACCCCTTTTGCAGATTTCCCAAAAGTCATCCCTGCAGGTTCATCTCTTTGGGCCTCTCTGCAGGGCTAGACAGTCATGTCACATGGTTGTTATCAAACACAATTTAGTGCCTTCTCAAAGATGAATGAATCATCTCTCTTTCTACCCAAGTACCCCCATGTTTCACAAGCGAGGTTAATGGAGACATGGAGAGAATATCTGTGGGGTGGGGGGAGGAAGGCAAAATAAATGGATCACGTTCATTAGTATTAATATGTAACTTTTGTGGGAAAAAGGGCAGAGGAGTTTAATAGCAGTTAATTACATTCGGTAAAAATTTCATCCTGCCAAATGTACTGGGAGAATTCACTTAGCCTCTTTAGACAGTGCAATCATCAGAAAAATGAGCTCTTTCTCCCATCAGGTTAGAATTAACTTGCAGAGCTATAGTTAGGAGATAGGATGAGAATTTTGCAGGTGAGGTTCATCGGAGGAAAATATGATCCATCAGAATGAAACTTTGGAATTTGTGAAGCTAAATATACCAGTTTGATTCACCATCCCTTTACATCATTCACTTCACTAATATTTATTAAATGCTCACAAATTGGCTTCCAGAAAAGGCTCACCCATGCCATCGTCGTGATATGGAGAGAGATGATTCTGGGTTCTTGAAGGCTATGTCAGCAGAACACAAGTCTGGCCAGTCTTCTGTAAATGGACAAAGGCTCCAGAAATTCCCACAGTGGAAATTCTTTCTATCAGTACAGATAGCAATATGACTATAACTTTTATCAAGAAATCCAAGAGAGTTGCCAGAGGCACATAGAGCTTAAGTGACTTGCTCACAGTCACATAGCTAGTAAGTGTCAAAGGCAAAATTTGAACCCAGGTCTTCCAGCTCCAAGATGAGCCTGCTGTCAACAAGGTTCTGCAGCCTCTGGAGGTCTTACCAAGCTGGAAGGGTTTTGAGTATGAGGCTAATGATTGGCTCTATCTCATTCAAAGATCAGCCTAGCTAAACTCAGGGCTTGTCTACCAGATGGTGAAGGCTTTTTGGCTATAGCAGCTCATTAAAACTTTTATTAAAGTGTGGAGGACCTCCAATCTGCATTTTTAGAGAGTATGTACAGATGAAGTCATGGATCCTCAATAAGACCCCTGTCCTCAAGGAGAATACAGTCTGGCAAGGGAGATAAGACAAATAACTATGGTACACAATAGCTATCACATGCCTAAGAGAGATCTGTATGAAGTGAAGGAGAGTTTATGGGAGGGAGAAATTACTTCTAGCTGGAAGGATCTGGGAACGATTTAGACCCTAGCCAAGAAGGTTTTGCTCTAATAAAACCAGTGAAATATCATTCCCACCACGTGATGAAAGAGTACCTAACATTCTTTCATAAAGGTTGATTAACTTGCCTTAAGAGCTATTTCTGTTTAGTTTAGGGGTTTTCAGTAAAGAATATCCACTAAAAACACAAACATACTACTAAGAGTATCTACTCACAGTGGTTTCGGTTGCCATAGAGATTATGCAACATCCCAGGAAAGAAACTAGACAGGGGTTAGTGAGTCCATTTTATAGATGGATGAATTGAATTATAATGAGACCAAATCATTTATCATGCCAGGATTAGGAGGAGAGAATGGAATCTCTTGAATCCTAAGGGAATATTTTGCCCACTACAGAAATGCATGTAAACATTATATGTTTTTACAGTAATACTGAAGTACATGAGAGTCACCAGATACTGCCATACACTTGGGTGTTTGAGAGAGAATACTACCCCAGGTCTCTTGGGTCAAGATGAGAGATTCATGAATTGGGGTAAAGGGGGTGGCACAAACTATCAGTAAGCATTTATTGATCACCAGTGCCAAAGCACTGGGATAAGTATTGGGGATATAAATTTTAAAAACATAGAATAGTCTCTGCCTTCAAGAAGCTCACATTCTGTTGATGGGCACATACGATCTGCATGTATAGTTATATGCAAAATATATAAAAAATAAATACAAGCTAATGTTTCGTGGGAAAAGTCACCAGCAGGTATAGGGATGGAGAAAGGTGTCATGCAGAAGGTGGCAGTTGAACTAACTTGAGTGTTTTAGGGAATGAGATTCTGAGAGGCAAAACTGAGGAGAAAGTCCATCTTTGGCATGAAAAACAATGCAAAGGCACCAATATAGAAGATGAAATGTCATATGTTAGGAGCATCAAGAAGAGTTTGGTTTTGTTTGTTTTTTTAAAATGGGGAAGATTTGGGCATCTTTTTAGGCAGTTGTGAAGATGCCCAGTAAATAGGAGGGGAAGGTTTGAAGATTAGAGATAGAGGGGGATGATCAAGAAGGTTGAAGGTAGAAGGCTGGCCATGAGAAGAGCCATCTCTTCATCAGAGACTAGAGTAGAAGAAAGGGGGGTGGAGATTGAAGGTCCAAGCAGCCAACAAAAAGGGAGTTATGTCCCTTAAAAGATGAGGAAGAAAACCACAAGAGAAACAGTAGTTAGTAAAGTCAATCTCCTCTTATAATCAAGATTAGATTTTTCAAAGGAATACTGTTTGAAACTCAAGAGATTATACCCAATGGATAACCCAAATACTGTGGTGACTTTTGAAGGGGTTTTATGATTTATATTTGTGTGTATAAATGTATTTCCCTAACAGATTTGGCATTCTAATGATATTGCTTAGGCTATTCCTAAAATGGATTTGCATCCTTCCAAATATACACCAATGGACGGCTAAAGGTAGAGGCCCAGGATCCTACAGAGAAGCAAGGCAATGAAAGTTGAAGGATTTTAGGGGGAGGGGTGTATGTTTGCGTGTTTAATCGGGGTTAAGTGACTTGCCCAGGATCACACAACTAGTAAGTGTCTAAGCCTGATTTGAACTGAGGTCTTCCTGACTCCAGGACTGGTGCTGTATCTACTGTGCTACTTAGCTGCCCAATGATAGTTGCAGGATTCAGAGATCAAAGAAAACAACATAATGAAGCAGAAAGAATGTTGGATTCCTAGTGAGATGACCTGAATTCAAATTCCAGCTTTGCTGGTTACTGCCTGAGTGACCTTGGGTAAGACATTTATCTTCTAAGTCTCAGTTTCCTCATTAGTAAAATGAGGGTATCGGACTAGAGCAGTGCTTCTTAAACTGTATATCTTGACCCCATATGGAGTCACGAAAAATTTGGCAACAGTAAAAGGTTTCTGAATGCACAACGACCAAAAATTAATCCAAAATCAAATCCGTAGTAAATCTTAGGTATTTCTGGCAGCGCTTGCCCCCCCAGCTTTGCACAACTTCTCTGCAGCATTGTTTCTGAACACAAAGCATGTGCACTTTGCACTGCACATGCCCTCAGGCCACACAATGCCAAGGAACCCAGCAGATGCTGCCAAAACACAAAAAAGGGTTGAGAGTGGAGAAAGTTTAAGAAACCCTGATATAGAGGGCTTCAAAGGTTCCTTCTAATTTTAAATCTATGATCCTACTACCTAGAAATCATTTAGTTCAACCTTCCTAATGAAACAATTGAGATTCAGAGAGGTCCAATGTCATACAGTAAACAACAGAGTTGAGTTTTAAACCCAAGTCTTCTGATTCCAAATGTAGGATGCTTCTCAGTACAACGTACCTGCTTCTACCTAGACACATATGAGAGTTGACTGTTTTCTTAATATGTTACTATTTATTTGCTATATTTTGCCTTTTTTTTTTATGAGAGTCTTGAAGATGTCACGTCTCAAAATCCAAGGTTGTTGGAGGAGGATCTAGGAAAACTTTGTCTCCAATTGGCTAGAGTAGCAATGACTTACAAATAGGGGATGGATGGTAGAATGGGAGTGGGAAGAGGCCTTAGAACTCATTTGATTCAGGGGTTTTTAACCTTTTCTGT